CAGGGAAGCCCATTTTTGTTTGTTTTTTTATGTATTATTTGTGTGAAAAGTATTATAAACCTATTACAGTACAGTACTATATAGCTGATTGTGTTAGTTGGGTACCTAGGCTAACTTTGTTGGACTTAAAAACAAATTGGATTTAAGAAGGCGCTCTCGGAATGGAACTCGTTCGTATGTAGGGGACTTACTGTATACCCACTTTGGTAAGAGTTTCTATCATTAATCGATGTTGAATTTTATCAGAAGCTTTTTCTGCATCTATTGAGATGATCATGTGGTTTTTGTCTTTTCTTTTGTTGATGTGGTGTATCACATTGACTGATTTGCGTATGTTGAACCGTCCTTGTGACCCTGGGATGAATCTATCTTGATCGTGGTGTATGATCCTCTTTATGTGTTGTTGGATTCGGTTTGCTAATATTTTGTTGAGAATTTTTGCATCTATATTCATCAAAGATATTGGCCTATAATTTTCTCCTTTGGTAATGTCTTTGGTTTTAGTATCAGAGTGATGGTGGCTTCATAGAATGACTTTGGGAATGTTCCTTCCTCTTCAATCTTAGGGAGTTTTTTTGTTTTTTGTTTTTTTTAAATTACAGATTCTATTTCACTTCTAGTGATTGGTCTGTTCAAATGATCTATTTCTTCTTGATTCAGTTTTCATGGGATGTATCCTTCTAGAAACTTGTTCATTTCTTCTAGTTTGTCCAATTTGTTGGCATATAATTGTTCATAGTATTCTCTTATGGTTTTTTGTATTTCTGCAGTATTGCTTGTTATTTCTCCTCCTTCATTTCTTATTGTGTTTGTTTGGGTCCTCTCTCTTTTCTTCTTGGTGAGCCTGGCCAGAGGTTTGTAAATTTTGTTTACCCTTTCAAAGAACCAGTTCTTGATTTTATTGATTTTTTTCTATTGTTTCTCAAATCTCTATTTTATTTGTTTCCTCTCTGATCGTTATTATTTCCTTCCTTCTGCTGACTTTAGGTTTTATTTGTTTTTGTTTTTCTAATTCTTTTAGGTGGTAGGTTAGGTTGTTTATTTGAGATTTTTCCTGTTTTTTGAGGAAGGCCTATATCGCAATGAACTTCCCTCTAAGGACTGCTTTTGCTGCATCCCATAGATTTTGTATGGTTGTATTTTCATTGTCATTTGTCTCAAGGTATTTTTAAATTTCTTCTTTGATTTCATCATTGACCCATTGGTTTTTTAGTAGCATGTTGTTTAGTCTCCATGTAATCGTTTATTTCTTATTTCTCTTTCTATGGTTGATTTCTAGTTTCATGCTGTTGTGGTCAGAAAAGATGCTTGAAATAATTTCTATCCTCTTAAATTTGTTAAGGCTTGCTTTGTGTCCTAGTATGAGGAAGTATGACCATATCTTAATTAATTATATCTGCAATGACCTCATTTCCAAGTAAGGTCACATAATGAGGTACTGGAGATTGGGACTTCAACATTTGAATTTTGAGGGGACACAATTCAATTCATGACAGTGGACTCTTAAAAAAATTGGAAAATTTTAGAGGTAAGCATAACCTTCTTTTTGTGTCAGTTTTGGTAGATTGTGGGTTGATGTCCTATTGTTTGGGGAAATTTTCAGGTGTTATCTCTTCAGACATTACTTCTCCATTCTTTCTCTCTTCTCCTCTGGGACTCTACATATGTGTATTTTTTGCTCTTTCCCCACCTATTATACTATTTCCTCTATCCATTCTTTTTTTCCCTTTGTAAGTTTGGATATTTTCTATTGACCTTTCAGTTCACTAATCCTTTCTTCTGACTTGTCTAATTGACCCTTAAACCCATCTATTGAATTTTTAGTTTCAGTTAATTGTATTTTTCCATTCAAGATGCTCAGTTTGATTCTTTTTATAGAATTCAATTCTCTGGGAAATCTCCATATTATCTTCCATGTATCTCCATTTCCCCCTGCATTTTGCTTAACATATCAATCATATTTATTTTAAAGTCCTTTTTTGCTATCTCCCATCTTTGAGTCACTTTTAGGTCGGTTTCTGTCATCTCATTTTTCCTCTTGGTTTTCAGTCATATAGTTCTGTCTTTTGAAATGCCTAGCAATTTCTAACTGACAGCTTGTGTATTGAAAGACCGTAGAGGTTCCGGGTGATGTTATCTTCTTACAGGAAGATAGAGTCCGCAGATAAAGTGGGGCCAATTACATTCAACCCTTGGGGCAGAGATGAGGCAAGTCCGGATTGTGGCTTTGAGAGCCTGCGGTTTCGCCAGGGCTCCTTCCCCTGGTAGGTCCTAAATGCTAATTCTTGTTTCCTCAGCACAACCTCTCTAAATCCCATAGCTGTAAGTCTTCCCTCACAGCCGCAGGGTCTCCCTTCACATTTATTTTTGCATTCCGGCTCATTTGTTTAAAAGTTTACAAGTATTTTATCTGGCAGTTTTATGTGTTAAGAGTAGGAGTCAGGATCTCGGGTCAGTCAGTCCGCCATCCTGACAGGAAGTCCTCTGAAGGCATTTAAGCAGGGACATGCCATCATCTCTTTGTCTGTGGTGCCGAGGATGGTTTGGGTCTGCTCAGAGGTGGTCATGGCCTTGACTCGAGAGAAGGGCATAGGTGAGAGAGGCACTTGGAAGATACCACCCAAAATGCCCCAGGGTCGTCATAGCAGTTGCGGTGGAGAGGAGGATTCTGAACCTGGTGCTAGAGCCCTCCCACATCCGGGAAGCTGCTGGATACCAGCGAAAAGCAGACCAGAGTTGGATGAAGGAGAGGAGAGGGCACAGGTTTCAAAGGAGGAAGTTGCTGCACAAGAGCCCGAAGGTTTGCGGGGGTGGACATGTGGGTGACCTTGTGAACTGGGTCCCGGGGGATGAGGGCCCACGGGGAGAAGAGGCCTTCTTTAGCAGTGAAGGTGGGAGTTGAGAGGTTGTGGGTGTGCATGTGTGTGTGTGTTTGTGGTGGGTGGTTTGCATCTGGGGCGTTCTGAAAGGTCTCCAGTGCCTGACAAGCCTGAGACGAAGGAGACACTCAGGAACACAGAACGTTTGGCAGCAGACGGGCCAAGCCATGCTGCTGGCCGGGGTGCAGCGTCTGGGCCCCGATGGGGAAGGGCTGCCTTGGGAGCTACAGCCCCGGGACCAGGCCTGCACCCATGCCTCCCCTCCCAAGCGCCCTCTGCTCCCCAGGCCCGGCCCTCCCTGCCGCCCCGTCACTGTGGTCCTCGCCGATTTTCCTGCCTTTATTCAAACCACTTCTGGGCTCTTCCCTGGAAAACCCCAGTGGCTCATCACTGCCTGAGAAATAGAGTTCAGACTCGAGCTTTACATCCACAGCTGTCACACCCAACCTCGACCCCTCAACTCTCCCACATCCACTTTCTTCCACCTGGCTCCCCCAAGTGGGCCTCCATGCATTTCCTGGGCTTTCAGTCTCGCTGCCTGCACTCCTGAAATGCCCCCTCCTGATGCCGATGCTGAGCCAGAGTCCGGAAGTCTGCAGCGTTCTCTGCCCCGCTCCTGGGGCAGTTGGTGCCTGTGCGGCTCGTGCCCCGTAGAGTCCCTCCGCTCATCGCACGGTCGACACCAATGGCGCGCCCGCCCTGGGCTGGGTGCTGGCCTGGGTGCTAAGTGCACAGGCACAGTCCCTGTCCTGAAGGCTCGGCCAGCTCTGCGATGCTGGCGGCAGCCCTGGCTAGCAGGGCAGGTGGCGCCAGGCGTCTGTGGGCATGCTGAGTGAGCTGGGGTCCTGGGCTGGCCTCTCACCGTGGTTTTCAGCAGGCACCAGCGATGGTGTTGCTTTTTTTGCAGGGCAGGGAATGTGACGGAGACTTTGTGTCGTTTAATCTTTTTTTTCCTTTATAAATTTATTTATTTTAGGCTGCGTTGGGTCTTTGTTGCTGCGCGCGGCCTTTCCCTAGTTGCGGGGAGTGGGGGCTACTCTTTGTTGTGGTGCGCGGGCTTCTCACTGCGGTGGCTTTCCTTTTTTGTGGAGCACGGGCTTCAGGCACGTGGGCTTCAGTACTTGCAGCACGTGGGCTCAGCAGTTGTGGCTCACAGGCTCCAGAGCGCAGGCTTAGAAGCTGTGGCGCATGGGCTTAGTTGCTTCACGGCATGTGGGATCTTCCTGGCCCAGGGCTCGAACCCGTGTCCCCTGCATTGGCAGGTGGATTCTTAACCACTGAGCCACCAGGGAAGTCCTGTGTCGTTTAATCTTGAAAACAAGAATGGACTTAATGATTACTCATGTAAATACACACTTTTGATTGGAGAATAAATTAGTCCTCCTCACATAGTGGCCTTAGTATAGCGAGCTGTGTCCAGGCTCCAGAGGAAGCCCACAGGACACCCTGTGGCTGAACAGGTCAGGCTTACGGCTCGCTGCGGCACGCGGGGCGGGACCACAGGAAGGGGGCCTGGAAGGATTTCCTGTGGGACTTGGCTTGTTTGGGTGAATTGGGGTGGGCTTAAAGAAGCAGTGCTTTGCTTGGGATTCCATACTGGGTATCTCAACACCTCTTCTTTGGAAGGGGGACGGACTAGGGGAGTCATCCGTGACTGGGTATCTCAACACCTCTTCTTTGGAAGGGGGACGGACTAGGGGCCGGCTCAAGCTGTCCATTCTGAAGAGCCAGCAGCTGCTCAGATGAGGCAGGACAGGATGCACGCAGTAGGTCTTCTTTATGGCTTGGACAATGCCTGCCTCTGGTCTGTGTTCAGACATGATTACAGAAGAGTCCTCTCCTCTTGACCCAATCCGGCACAGAGGGGCCTTGTCTGATGCAGTTCTGCATGTGAAACTGCATATTCTAAACAGCAGCCCACCAGGGCCTGTATCTGAGTGTGCCAGGCTGGCCCCTACAATGCTAGGGCCTCGCTGATGGGACCAGGCCAGCCCCTGGATGTTGGGGGCTGCTTCTCTCCTCACCCGAACAATCTCCCCTGCTGACCTCCCCAGTGCTGTGGCTGCTTCTGCACACGCATCCACCCGGTCAGATCACAAGCTGCCCTTTTCTCCTCTCCAGGGGGACTCAGCAGACAGCAGGCCAAACTCCACTGGCAGAGATGCCCCGCCCGCCTCGACCAGGCCCATCCTGAGCCCTTTGTGGCACTGCCAGCTGCCCCAGCCCCGAGCCCCACCTGATCTCCTCTCTGCACATCTCATCTGCTTCCTCCCTGCTTTCTTCACCTGTTGGCACCCACCCCCTCTCCTGGACATTCTCTTGCCAGACGCATCTTCCTGAACCCACAGCCAGCTGTGGCTCCTGCCAGAGGCCCCTTCACCGGCAGGACAGGTCCAAGCCCTCACCCACGTGCAGCCCTGGCCTTCCCTCCCGCGGTGGCCCCGCCCTGGCCCACACCTGCAGCCCCTGGTCGTCCCCAGGGAGCCTCTCCCAGGGACTAGCTCAGCCAAGAGTTTGTCCTCCTTGAACTCCCTGAGAAAACACCGTCCCTGCACATCTCGCTCGGCATTTATTCCTGAGCCGCTCCTCTTGCCTCTGCTGGCGTTCTCTTCAACCACCCGGATGCTCCGTGTTTTCTCCCCTGCGTGGAATCCTCACGGGCCTGTGGGCTACCGCGGAGCAGGTTCCCGTGCGCTTGGAGCGCCTGCAGGCGGGGTCCCTTGGGTGAGGAGCCGCGCCTGCTCGAGGAGAGGCGGGGAAGGGGAGCCGCGTCGCCTGCCCGCGCTTGGCAGGTGAGCAAAGCAGAGGGACCGAGGGGAGCCGTGAGGCGCGAGGTGGTCTCCAGGAAGGGCCCCGGTGGTGAGGACGGCGGTGTGCGTCGGGCCTGGGGAAGTGGGGCCCGCCTGTGGCTCAGGCCGAGGAGCTCGGGGACAGCGGAAGGCCAACGCAGGCAGCCATCGGGGAAGGGGGACTGCATCCCGCTGGCGACCATCAGGCGGGTGGTGTGATCAGTGTGTCGGAAGCACACCTGGCAGCTGGGCAGAGGCTTGGTGGAGGTGAGCTGACAGATGAGCACGAGGAGGGTGGGCAGGGAGAGGGGGTGGGGCAGGATGGGCGAGGGCAGAGAGGACAGACCCGTTTCCGGCCTGGGGGTCGGGTGGACGCCGACGGAGCTCACGCAGGAGCAGCAGGTACGGGGCAGGCCACAGCCGAGGCGCCCGCGGGCACGGGGGTGCTGGCTCGCAGTGTGGGGGGCCCTTCAGAGATGCTGGGGTGCTGGCGCCAGTTAAAGGAGTGGGTTGATGGGCTCGCGGGGAGGAGGTGAGAGAGGGCTGGATAGCGGGCCCTGTGGGGGAAGGCCACGGTCAGGAGTGTCCCCTGGGGCTAGGAGCTCAGGAGAGCTCAGTGCAGGGAGGCGCTCAAAGCGACCGAGCCCCGGGCAGCGGAGGGACCCCTCTGTGGGAGGCTGAGGATAAGGACAGCTGGCTGACCTCTGAGCGCACATCCCAGGGCCAGGGGTAGGTGCGCACGGCTCTGGAGCTGAGACAGCACGAGCCACGAGGGAGGCCGCGCAGCACCAGCTGAGGCTGAGGGCCACGGCAGGGTGGGGCCTGGAGAGCTGCGGAAGGTGCCAGAGGCAGGCCAGGGGCCCTCAGAGCCTCCGGCCAGCTCTCCCCTGGGGGCTCCGGTGTGCAGGTTTCTCGGGGGGCATGGGGGAGGGGTGCGGAGGGCCTTCGTCTGAGCCAGGCCTGGGCCACGTGTCAGGTGCCCGCTGATGGGCTCCCTGGGGGCCCTTCAGAGCCAGAGGAGCAGGACAGGCCTGCCTGGGGGCGGTCAGTGACCTATGCCGCTGCCCATCAGGCCCGAGGCGAGATGATGAGGGTGTCGCAGCCCCCGCCCCCCCCATCATGCCGTGCAGTTCCCAGGCACGAGTGGCAGACACCGTGTGACCCAGGCACCACGCGTAACCACCGGGAGCCTTGGGGTCCCCGTCCATCAGCTGGGAATCCCGGCATACAGCTCATGACGTGGCTGGGAAGATTGCAAAAACGGAGGTGGAAGCACCGAGAGAGAAAGATTAGCTGCTGTCGCTGTCGTTAACCTCCACGACCTCCACCCCGAGCCGAGCCCCGCCGTCCACGCCTGTCCTGCTCGCTGCCTCACACTGGCAGTGCCTAGACCCCTCCCCACCTTGTGGAGGAAGTGGCAGTGACGACAGTGATGAAGGGAACACAGAGCGCGGAAGGTCCCATTTATTGTTTAAAGACAGCAGAATGAGAGGAAGGCGTTCTCCTCCCCTGAAACATACCCGTCCTCTCTGCCCTCAGGGCTCAGCACAGGGACGAGACCCTCACACCCTGCAGGTCCCCCAGAGGGCAGCACGCTAGTATGGGGCTGGGGAGGGGAAAGGGACACTTTATGGCAGGCGGGGGAGCTGGGACAGGAGGGGGGACGCGCACCCTCACCTCTTGGCTCCATCCCTCTCCCCTGGGACCTGGTGTTGCCCCCAGACCTGGGGTGGGCTGGCAGACAGGGCTCATGCAACACTGAGTGGGCAGGAGGTGGCACAGAAACCTGGCCCCACTGCCCTCTGGCAGGGCGGGAGGGCTACAAGGGGCCATGCTGGCCACAGCGGGTCCGAACAGAAGTGTCTGCAGTGTACACACAGGAGGGTTGGGGAGGGGCTCCCTCTGTCCCAGGCTGCGCGCAGGGATGAGAGAGGGGAGGTACAGAGGAACTGCCACGCTGGGGGCAGGGTCCAGGTCAGCCATGCCACCTGAGTGGGGCCCCGCATGTGCCAGGGGCTCGGGCTACTCCTTGGCACGGCCAATGATGGTAAGGATGTACAGGAAGATGTTGATGATGTCCGTGTACAGGTTCAGCGCAGCAAACACGTACTCTTCCGGGCTCAGGGACAGCTGCTTGTTCCCCAGCAGCAGCTGGGTGTCCACTGCCAGGAACTGGGGGTGGCAGCACGGTCATGTTGAAAGACATCCCACCCCGCCCAGCATCCGCCCACACCGCCCACCCCCATCACTCACGCAGGTGAAGAGCAGAGCGCCGAGTGAGGCGTACACGATCTCCAGGATGCGGTTGCGGACAAAGATGCAGAGGATGGCGAAGACGAGGAGCACCGCCATGCTCACCAGCAGCACGCCCACGCACGACGTGAAGTCGTAGCGCGTCTGAGGGCACAGGGGCACACGGGGCCTGGGTACCGCAGCCCTGGAAGGCCTCTGGGCCCTCAGGACCGGCAGCCCTGCCTCGGGGGGCCCCTTACCTGCATGGAGAAGATGACCACCGTGAAGCAGACGGTCGTGGTGATGCCTACGGCCATGATGACCGCCTCAGTATTGTAGAAGCTGGCGATCATGCCCACCATGTAGGACAGGCTGACGGTCAGGACCGACTGAGGGGAGACGGAGACTTGAGCATGTGGAGCCGCTGCCCCACCCCCGTCCCCCTCTGTCGCTCCAAAGCGTGAGTCACGGGGTGTGAAGGCCTTAGGGTCTGGGGGTTACCAGGGCAACGAGGTTCCAGGGGTGCTTTCGCCGGAAGTCCCCACAGCAGCTGAGGACAATGAGGGAGATGAAGAAGACGGCGTAGGAGACGTAGTAGGTCCAGACGTTCTCCCGGACAAAGCCCTTCACCTCCCCGACGAATGTGAACACGGCCACGGTGGACAGAGTCACGGACAGCTGCAGGGTCAGCACCAGGAACACCTGGGGAGGGAGGCGGCTCAGAGCTCCGGCCAGCACAGCTGCCCACGCCCTCCGCAGCCCCCGTGGCCCACCTTCCGGATGAAGGCCTGTCGGATGCTCTTGTCATCCCAGTTGGTGGCAGGGAAGTCCTGGTTGTCGTAGTAAGATGGGGGACCCTCCTCGTGATAGTTCCCATGCTGAGGTGCTGAGGAGCACGGTGGGCTGGGTCAGCACCCCTCACTGGTGCCAGGAGCCCCTGCCCTCCCCTGCCCCTGCCCCACTACTCACTGCCAGAATCCTGTGCCGGGAAGGCCTGTGGTTGTCCATAGGGGTTGGGGGGAAAGGGGCTCTGTGGATACGGCCCCTGAGGGTAGCCCCCTTGTGGGTAGGGGCCCTGAGGGTAGCCTCCTGGGGGGTAGGGGCCCTGGGGGTAGCCTCCTGGCGGGTAGGGACCCTGAGGGTAGCCCCCCTGGGGGTAGGGGCTGGGGCCCTGGGGATACCCTGGCTGGCCATAGGGGGAAGGCTGGAACGGGGGCTGTGGGTAAGGGGCCCCTGGGTAGGGAGGCAAGGAGGGCTGGGGCCCCCCAGGATATCCAGGGTTGGGGGGAGGATAGCTGTCCGCGGACACCAAGAAACTCTTTTCATGGGACATGGCCTCAGGTTCTGTGGTCTCCCCCTAGAGGACAGAGAGAGAACGGTTAGCCCTGAGGTGACAGGAACCAGCCAGGGGCCTCTCCACCTGCTACCGGGAAACGGGACGGAAGGAGGGGGTTTCGTGACCTTTGCCCCAGGGCTGTCCGGAGCCCGAGCTGGGGGGCCAGGAGAGGCGGGTGGGTATCGGGTGGCTGGCCGTGTGGCTTCAGGAGGGGCCCCTACAGGCCGACCCCAAAGATGGAGGAGGGGATGGACGAGGGGATGACTTTGGCAGCCTCAGGATTTTGGGCTTCTGCCGTTTCTTGCAAGCAACTGGAGGGGCCGTCTCACCGCTGCTGGCCTCTCCGGGTCAGAGCTCAGCGCGGGTCGGGGCTGGGGGCGCGGTCGGGGAGGTGCGGGGGTGTGCCCGGACCCTCCCCTTCACATCCCGCCCCTTAAGCAGCTTTAAGGGGCCAGAGCCGGCGGCTATTTCTATCCCAGGAAATCCCCACGCCATCTGTGACCAGCCAGAACCCTGACCGCCCCCCCCCCTCCAAGAGCAGGGCCCTAGCGTCCCTCGCTCCCGGGGTGGGGGCAGCAGGCCTGGATCGGCTGCCGGCTGCCGGGGTGCCTGCCAGCGGGGTACGCCAGGAACAGCGGGTTGCGGGGGGATGGGGGGGTGGGGGATGGAAGCGACCAGAGGGCGTGCGGGGGAACAAAGCGGACGTGGGGACGAGGCGGGTGGTGGCGGCGGCCACGGAACCCGCACCGAGGGCGGGGTGGGCCCTCCTGCCCGTTCGGGGGGCGCTCGGACCGCCCGTCCGGCTGTCGCCGCAGTGCGCCGCCCCCGCTCGCCCTGGGCCCTCCGGCTTCCCGGCCCCGCCGCCACCGCCCCCCGGCCCCCGCGGGCCGCGCGCCCGGCGGGACCTACTGACCCACCGCAACGCCTGTCTGCTGCGCAGGGCCCGCGCGGGGGCGGCAGTGGCCGGCCGGCTGAGCGAGTAGACGCGCTGCTGGGCTAGGGCCGGGGACTCACCAGTCGCGCGAGTCGCCTCAGGCCTGTGCGCCCGGTGTCCGCTGCGCGGCCGCGCAGTCGACGGCCGCTGTGCCCGCGCCCGCACCCGCACCCGCTCCGCGGCCGGCTGGGCTGGGCTTGCGCCTGCGGCTCGGGAGACGCAGCGGGGCCTTGTGACGGGGCGGGGCCGGCGGTGCGGGGGCGGGGCCGTGGGCTGGGCTCCGCGGGGAACGCGGGGGCTTCTCCCGGATGGACCCTACCCGACTGGGTTTCCCTGCTGGCTTCTTTCAGAGCCCCAGGCCCGAGACCCGCGTCCTGTCCTGTCCGCTGAGGGGTGGCCTTGGGCCGTGAGGGCTGTAGACCTCTGGAGGCTGAGACCTAGCCTCTCCAATTTGGGTCAGGGAATTTTGAGAAATTTATTCCTAAATCTGGGATTTGCTAAGTCTGACAAGCACTCTCCATCCCTCCTTGGCCTTAAAACTCCGCTTCCCCTTTCATCCAGGTCTATTCCAAATCAAGAGGCCTAATTCTTTAAACGCCCTATCCTCTCTAGGAAACTAGTCCAGGTCCCTACTAGACCAGTTATCCTTACTTGTCTTGATCACAGTACCACAAGCTGTAACGGTGGCATTCTTTTTTTTTTTTTTTTTTTTTTGCGGTACGCGGGCCTCTCACTGTTGTGGCCTCTCCCGTTGCGGAGCACAGGCTCAGGACGCACAGGCTCAGTGGCCATGGCTCACGGGCCCAGCCGCTCCGCAGCATGTGGGATCTTCCCGGACCGGGGCACGAACCTGTGTCCCCTGCATCGGCAGGCAGATTCTCAACCACTGCGCCACCAGGGAAGTCCAACGGTGGCATTCTTAGCCCTGTTTCGCTGCTAAGGGGCTGAGGCTTAGAGATGCCCCAGGACTGGAGGCCAAGTTAAATTCCCTCGGCTTCAGCGGTCCTGAGGAAGTGCTGCCTGCCACCTCCAGGGACATCCCTGCGACGTGGTCCCCTGGAGCCCTCTGCAGGAGTGCCTGTCTACCTGGGGCCTAGGAATCTTACTGTACTTTCCGGCCTTTTGGACAGTGGCCTCTCCCAGGCCCAGCAGTGATTGGGAAGAGGCTCTGTCCTATGCAGCTGGTGTGCTGGTTCATCGTTGAACGGCGGGCCCCAGGGAGGGCAAACCCTGATCTGTACCTTTGCAGTTGTCCTTCATATAAATACCCCATGGTGGCTGATTTCAAGCGACCACCAGTTTAACAACTGCTTCACAAAGACTCCTGAAAATTGAACAATGTAGTCATGATGTGAGTTGCTCCAGCACACTGCTGCCTGTGGTAGCAGGGATTGGTGTAATAAGTAAATTATACAGTATGTTAGAAGAGGATGAGTTCCATGAGAGGAGAAAATATAGAGCAGGCAGGGATGACTTCAGGTTTTGTAGAACTAGAAGCTCATACAATTTGAGGGGTCTTTTTTTAAGGAAACTAATTTAAAATGACAAATGTGAAGTTGAGGCCAGGGCCCTAGGAGGGGCCCGTGCAAGTCACAGTTCCTGACGGAGGATGGGGGATGCAGGAGGGATGCAGCAGACGGGACTGGGGCCCGGTCAGTCCAGCCTGGCAGGTCCTCCAAAGGACTCTGGCTTTACTGTGGACCCAGCTGTAGCAGCTGTCGGTGCCACTTATAAGGCTCACGCTGCCCTCTGTTGAGGAGGGACAGTGCGAGTGGGCAGGAGTGGCAGAGAGAGATCAGTTAAGAGGTCAGAGTAGTGATCCAGGCAAGAGATGATGGAGGCTCAGATCAGGGTGGGGGCAGCCAGGGTGCTGGGTGTACAGCTCGGGGCACAGACTGGACAGGTCCTCAATTCCTTGGAGGAGTAGCAGGGCCGGAGGCTGGGTTTTAGTGGCTGAGGGATAAGTGGGAGGTGCGAGATGGAGAGCAGTGGGGGGCACAACTCTCTGAGAGGCTGGAAGCCAATGGAGCACAGGAAAGGGGGGTACTCGGCGGCAGCAAGAGGGATTGTGGACTGTAAAGGCGCAGCTGAGCATGAGGCTCCACGTCCCCTCTGTCACGGGGATGTGCTGCAGCAAGGCCCGTGAGCGCAGCATCAGCCCCTTCCGGGGTCAGCCTTGGTGCCCCCGCCACCTCCGAGGACAGTGTAGGCTGGGGAGGCGGGGAGGAAGCTCTCGTAGGTCAGGAGTGGGAACTGCCGACCCACCCTCGCGGGATGGGAGGTCGGTCCCCTGTGTGTCGTTTAAGAGTGAGTGCGGGTGCCGTCACCCAGCTTGCTGGGGCGAGTTGAAAGCCAGCCGTAGCCAGGCCGGCCAGAGCCCCAAGGTGCTCGTGCAATGGGGGAGGGTAACACGGAGGCTTGAGGTCTTGAGTGGAGGGCGATGATTCGAGCCCCCCGTGTGGATTTACCAGGGAGGGTGACTGGCCGTACTGAGGTTCACAGGGCCAGGCCCACGGGAGTGGGGGACCGTGAGCCTACATGCGCCCCACCCTGCCAGCCACTGGGCTGAGGTCAGACAGGTGGGGCGGGTGGGCTGGGCAGAGGGCTGAGGAGCTGGGGGTGGGGCTGGAAAGTTCTGCAGGAGGGGCCGGAGAAGGGAAGCACCCGAGAGGCAGACGCTCTCCCTGGCACTGTGGGCCCCTCCCTCCCTCCGACGGTTTCGCTTTTGTTTTCTTGTCCCAGCCCTTTGGCTTTAGGGCGAAGGGGAAGGAGTCCGGCTGAAGGCCTAGGCTGCGGCGGCCCAGGCAGCTGGGGGAGCGTGAGTGCAGGATGTGGGCCGCCCCACAGTGAGGGGGGTGCCAGGGAACGCTGCTCAGGGGCCTGCGAGGGGTGAGGCGGGGCTGTGGGCGGCTACCCCACCTGTTCCTTCGGCCCAGGCTGTGATGATGGGCGAGGAAGAGGCGGAGCTGGGGGCAGCCGTGGAACTCAGAGGCCTGCCCCCCGACGTCCCAGACGAGCTGCTCACGCTCTATTTCGAGAACCGTCGAAGCTCTGGGGGTGGACCTGTGTCAAGTTGGCAGAGACTTGGCCGCAGGGGCATCCTCACCTTCCAGGAGGCTGCAGGTGAGTGGACCCATTCAAAGGGGCAGCCTGGGCCCCCACCGGCCGCCGGCCCTGACACCCCCTCCCCCTGCCTGCAGATGCAGCGAGGGTCTTGGCCCAGGAGGAGCACACTCTGCACGGCGCTCGGCTGAGCCTGCGGCCAGCCCCACCACGCGCCCCTTCGCGCCTACTGCTCCAAGGGCTGTCTGCTGGCACGGGACCCCAGCACCTGGAGCAGTATGTCCAAGCCCTGCTTTGTGCCGCAGGGCAGCCAGTGCAGCCGTGCCGTGCCCTGGCCAGTCCCCGACCAGACCGGGCCCTGGTGCAGCTGCCCAAGCCTCTTTCAGACGCAGGTGAGAGGCGGGATCGGGGCAGACGCGCCTTTCAGGGGAGATGCCCCGAGCTGACTTGCACCCTCCCCACAGAAGCCCGCGTCCTGGAGGAGCACGCCCAGTCCCTGGGCCTGAAGGGGGCTGAGGTCTCCCTGGCCTGGGTGCCTCAGGCCCGGGCGGTGCGTGTCGTGGGGGGCATCCCCCCTGCAGACCTGCTGCTGCTGGAGCTGTACCTGGAGAATGAGCGCCGCAGTGGCGGGGGGCCCCTGGAGGGCGTGCGCAGCCTGCCAGGGCACCTGGGCACCATCGCTTCCTTCCAGCAGTGGCAGGGTGAGTGGGGCTGGACAGGGCGGCCCACCCTCCCTATACCTTGGAGCCCTGACGACTTCTGTCCTTTCCCTTCCTCCAAGTGGCCGAACGGGTGCTGCAGCGGGCCCACCAGCTGCAGGGTTCAGAGCTGATCCTTGTCCCCCACTACGATGTCCTGGAGCCCGAGGAGCTCAGCGAGCACACCAGTGGAGGGAGCCGCTTGGCCGAGTTGGGGCCTGGGGCCCCCAAGCATGCTCTCCTGGAGGCTGGAGGGCCAGCAAGGGCACAGAATTGTGCAGGGAATGTGACACTGGGCTCTGAGGAGGCACCGGGGCAAACAGGAGCCTTGCTGAGGACAGGGCATCTCTGGGACAGGTCCTCTCTGGGACAGGCCAGGCCAGTCAGCTCCAGGCCCGTGGGGTCTTCAGAACAGGAGGGGTTGGTGAGCCCAGGGCCTACAGGGTCTCCAGGCCCAGTGGAGATTGCCGTGGAGTCTCTGGAGCAGGTGGTGTCAATGAGCCTGGGCCCTGTAGGGTCACCGGGGCAGGAGGGCCTGGTGGAGACAGTGCTGCCGATGGAGCTGGGAGCAATGCGCTTCATTCAACTCTATCATGAGGACCTTCTTGCTGGCCTGGGAGACGTTGCCCTCTTCCCACTCGAGGGATCAGATACGACTGGATTTCGGGTAAGCGACCCCTGAGGATTCCTCACCTCTACTACTGGGGGCTCTGGGTGCCTCTCCTGTGCCCCAACCTGCCAAGTGCTCCTCCTCACCCTGCCCCGTGGTCCTGCAGCTCTGCGGAGCCCTGGCCCCATGCCAGGCAGCCGAGGAGTTCCTGCAAAGTCTGCTGGGCAGCGTGAGCTGTCACGTGCTGAGCCTGAAGCACCCAGGCAGTGCCAGGTTCCTGCTGAGCCCAGAGGGGCAGCACCTTCTGCGGGGGATGGAAGCTCAGTTCCAGTGCGTCTTTGGGACAGAGCGTCTGGCCAGGGCTGCCCTGGACACAGACCTGGGAGAGGTAGACATGGAGCCCTCCCCTCCCTTCCCCTCCCCTTTTTCACTCCTCAGCGCCCCCGTACCTCCTCCACCCTTGCTCAGAGGCCTGGGAGGGGTATGTGTCTGGGGGGTACTGGCATTCTTTCCCAACAGGTGGACCCCACTGAGGCCCTACAGGTGCTCCCTGGCCACTCCCACACCCTGTGGCCTCCAGACAGTACAGACGGTGGCCAGGAGAATGTGAACCTAGGTAGGGCTCCCGGGGGACCCCGGCACATCCTGCGGCCCTTTCTTGACCTCACCCCCTGCTGCTCTGCCCTGTGACCGTATACCCTCTAACCCCGTCTCCATCTTCCACCCGGCCCCTGACTAGTCCTCTCCTTCAGCCCCATCCTGGCTGGACTTGACCCCTGACCCGGTGCCTCTCCCTGTCCCCAGAGGAGGTCCGAGAGCTGCTGGCCGCCCTGGAGGGCCTGGACGGGGAAGACTGGCTGCCACTGGAGCTGGGGGAGGAGGAGCCCGCGGGGCAGCCGGAGGAGGAGAAGACTCCTAGGGCTGGGGAGGGGCCTGTGGCGCCCCGCACCGGGGTGCCTGGGCGGCTGCAGGAGGAGGCTGAGCTGCAGCTGGCTCTCTGCCGCTCGCTGGAGCCACAAGGCCAGGTGGCCAAGCGGGAGGAGGCTGTGGCGCTGCAGTGGGCCCTGGCCCTCTCCCTCCAGCCGCCCCCGCTGGAGGAAGAACCGGAGCCCCGGGGTGGGGGGCCTGGCGGCTGGGCCCAGCTGGAGGTGCACGCGGCCTTCGAGCAGGATATGGATGAGCTGGGCCGGGCCCTAGAGGCGGCCTTGGAGGTGCACCTCCGGGAGGAGACGGTGGGGCCCCGGGGCTGCGTGCTGCCCGCGGAGCTGTGCGCCCGCCTGGAGCGGCGCCACGGCGTGAGCGTCGCCCTTCGTGGTGACCGCACCGTCCTCCGTGGCTTTGGGACCCAGCCCACCCGTGCGGCCCACCACTTAGCAGCGCTGTGGGCTGGCCCCCGGGATCAGAGCTTGGCCTTTCCCTTGGAGGCTTCGGGCCCCACTTGTGAGTCTGCAGCCCGCATGGGGGAGGGCAGGGTGGACCGGTGCCCCAGGCATGGCCCACATGCCCTTTCTCCCTGTGTGTCAGTGCCACAGCAGAGGCCGAGGGAGCTCTTGGGCAGGCTGGAGTGTGTGGCCGAGAGCAGCAGTGAGTTCCATACGGTAGTGCAGGCCTTCTACGACACACTGGACGCTGCCCATGGCAGGATCCGTGTTGTCCAGGTGAGTCCACGCCCTGCCTTGCCAGCCTCTGGCCTCCTGGGCTCCTGGCACCATCTTGGCCTTGCAGAGCCTGTGGGCTATCACTCTTGCCTACGTCAGGATCGGCTGGCCAGAAGCTGCCCAGCAGGCTGAAAGCTGTTCGGGGGCAGGGGAGCACCAGGGCTCCGCAGCCCCATTCCCTGCCCGAAGTGTGTTCACGAGTGTGCGGCCAGAGAGACAGAAGGCTGTAGAGCTTAGGGGGTCCCAGCACAGGTCCCCACTTCGCCGGTTACAGCCCGATGCCGGCCAGTTTCTTCCTCTAGAACATGGGGTGGTGATGCCATCTCGTGGCTACTGTGAGGATGACTCATTCCCCCAGTTGTCCCGGGTGCTGTTCTGGGGCCCGTCTGCCTCCCAAGGGGTCTGCTCCAGCAGGAAGAGGGCTGGCTGCAGCGAGGCAGCCTCCTCCTACATTTTCACTTGTTGAACGTGGCAACTCTGAGCACGGTTGGGTTGCGGAAAGGGCTGGGCACCACGGGTGGGGGACCCGAATGAAGCTCTGGGAGCCCCAGTGAGCCCTGGCCACCCAGGCAGGTGGGGAGCGGAGGCTGAGAAGGAGGGGCTCAGAGGCGGGGTGCTGGAGGCAGCGAGGGCGGGAGCGCCTGCAGGGCCGGAAGGAAGGACTGAGGAGGGGCTGTGCGCCAGGCAGGGGTGGAGAGCGGCGGGAGGTGAGAGCTAGGCCGGGCTGAAATGAGCTGGCTGCGGAAGCGAGGGGGCAGAGAGGAGCTGGAGCAGAGTGCAGGGCTGAGTGCTTCCGGCTCAGGGGAAGGAATCTCGGGGCGGTGGAGAGCTGGGCTCACGGTGCGGGGGAAGCCAGGTGGCCCTCTTGACGCACCAACTTGTGGGTGGGTGGGCCTGGGGGCAGGGGGCGGTGAGCAGCAATAGCAACCCGGATCTGTTCAGATACGCAGACCCTCACGCCTTTCCCAGACCGGGCCCAGTCCGCCACCAGCAGCACCACCACCGCTTTCCTGGGGATGACCACTGTGACTCTGGGTGGACTTAGCAGCTGTCACTTCTGCACTTGGGGAGAGGAGGACGCCCTGCACTCATGCCCGCGCTCCTCCCGAGGCTCTGTCAGTCAGTCACGTGTGCTTGATTCTTCTAGCAGGACCTTGTGACTTTACGTGGTACACTTGGGTCTTTTTTCCACTTAACGATTTTAGAGACTGTTTCTTGCCTCCCTGCATGGAAGATCAGGAGAATGGGCTTCCCTTCCCCCTTTCACCTCTTCCTCCCTCTTCCATCTCACAGTTTGGCCAGTGACATTACTTTTAAGTTGGCAAGGTTGACAAATGTCATCTTCTATTCTGCATGGCACGCTTCTATTCCAAGCATGAAGCTCCAAACTTGGGCCATAGTTTGATCGAAATATAATGACAATGAACAAATATTTACCACTGGACCAGAGAGGAAAGGGGGAAACGAAAAACCTAGTTATTGAAACCATGTTGCATGAAAGAGAATATTCTAGGATTCAAGGACTAATGGCTCTTTTTTTTTATAATAGACTTATTTTATTTATTTATTTTATAGGCTGTGTTGGGTCTTCATTGCTGTGTGCGTGGGCTTTCTCTAGCTGCAGCGAGCTGGGGCTACTCTTCGTTGCAGTGCACGGGCTTTTCATTGCGGTGGCTTCTCTTGTTGCGGAGCACAGGCTCTAGGCCTGCAGGCTTCAGTAGTTGTGGCATGTGGGCTTCAGTAGTTGTGGCTCGCGGGCTCTAGAGCGCAGGCTCAGTAGCTGTGGCGCACGGGCTTAGTTGCTCCGCGGTATGTGGGATCATCCCGGACCAGGGCTTGAACCCGTGTCCCCTGCACTGGCAGGCAGATTCTTAACCACTGTGCCACCAGGGATGCCCAACTAATGGCTCTTGATTTTGTTTACTTTCTTCGTTTTTCTCTGTGGTGCTTGGCTGCTGGCTTACTCTTGGTGACCGTGTCACCTTCTTGCCTAGATTCCTTTTCTGTGTAGTAAAAGTATCTCCTTGAGTGAGTAGTCAACATTTTGGACTTTTAAATGTGTTTTGCCTTTTGCAATTAGAAGTAATTTGCAACTATAATTTGATATTGGTATTTTTTTCAAACAGAAGATGCTATGTGTTTATTAAGACATTTCTGTTAACTTAAGCACAGCTGGTTCTTGCATACCTTAATCTGTCCTTATTTTGTCCTCACCATTAATAGTTTGGTTGGATATAGGGTTCAAGATCAAAATATGTTTTCCTTCAGATCTTTCGAGAGACTTAACTCTTTTTGTTTCCTCCTTAAAATTTTTTGTTCTTGGAAAGGCAAGAAAAAAAATCCTTCTATGGTCTCCTAGCATCCAATATTGCTGGTGAGGACCCCAATATGAAAACGTGAGGTTTTCCCATGTCTGTATGTCAACTTTGGGGGCGCGCGTGCGTCTGGACGCTTGTAGACTTCTCTTTCACTTTGAAGGTTGAAGTTTTCCCATCAGGTAGGTGCCTTTCCACATTGTCGTTGGCATTTTATGGCAAGATCCTTTCCATCTGAAGATGCTCCCTTCAGCTCAGGCAAACTGTCTTCCATTAAGTCCTCACTTGCTCCCATCACCTGTTGGGTGTCTTCTTATGGAGCTCCTATGACTCAGATCATAGAGCTCCTCCCCCCTCCCTCATCTGTCCTCTCACAGTTCCCAACTCTTTTCTTTAGCTCTGCACTCTGAGTCACTTCCTGAACTCCATCTTCATCATCTTATTATTATCCACACCCACTGGATGCAGTTCAGCAATTCCATTCTTAATGTAAGAACTCTCTAATTTTCAGACTGTTTCTTTTTCACAGTAGGTCGTCTTGTTTCATGGATATAATATTCATTTGCATCCCTCTGAAGTAACTAGTTAGAATTTCTTTAGAAACTTTTTGGGTCCCTGAGTTGGCTCCTCTTCGGTTGACTACTGGGTTGGTCACCTTGGTCTCCCATCACTGAGAGGTCCGGGGCATCTCCTGGTGTTGGGAGTGAAGTCCTGCGGGCAATGCAGGCGGGCGGCTCAGCTTTTCTCTGCAGAGGCCTGGCTGTGGGTGCAGGGTTCTGGTGAGTGGATGGGTTGCCTACCCGCAGACCCCCCTGGAAGCCCTCCAATGCCACTTGGGGCTCCGTGGAGGTGGCGAACGTCCGCCTAATGTCTGCTACTGGGCAGAGCATGACAGGAGCTGTGAGGTCTCCCCAGGCCCTGAACTCCTCCAGGAGAGGGCTCTTGATTTCCGGGCTCAGCCCTGTGCCCTGTGGCCCAGGGGATACAATAGCCTGGTTCTGACCAAGGCCGCCCGCAGGTGGAGCGTGTGTTGCACCCGCTGCTGCAGCAGCAGTACGAACTGCACCGGGAGCGCCTGGAGCAGTGCTGTGACCGGCGGCCGGCGGAGCAGGTCCTGTACCACGGCACGTCGGTGGCCACCGTCCCGGACATCTGCGCGCACGGCTTCAACCGCAGCTTTTGCGGCCGCAACGGTGAGGCCTGGGTCCCTGAAGGGGCGCGGTCTCTGCCCACCGTAACCACCCTGACCCCCGTGCCTACCCCCCCGCAGGCACGCTCTACGGACAGGGCGTGTACTTCGCCAAGCGCGCCTCCCTGTCGGTGCTGGACCGCTACTCGCCCCCCGACTCCGAGGGCCACAAGGCGGTGTTCGTGGCGCGGGTGCTGACCGGCGACTACGGGCAGGGCCGCCGCGGGCTGCGGGCACCCCCCCCGCGGCCCCCCGGCCACGCGCTCCTGCGCTACGACAGCGCGGTGGACTGCCTCCCCCGGCCCAGCATCTTCGTCATCTTTCACGACACCCAGGCGCTGCCCACTCACCTCATCACTTGCAAGCACATGTCCCGGTCTCCCCCTGGAGACCCCCCTGAGCTCTTGAGCAACTCCCCAGCCACCTAACCCTAGAGGCCCCGCCCCCTCGGCCCAGCCGCTGGCCTCCCGCTCCCCAGGCTCCCCGCTCCGCACAGCCCCACCGCCCCCTCCCCCGCCCGAGCTGCCCCCGGGGGCGCCCCTGCCTCCTGCAGTGGTGCCCATAGGGGCGACCGGGCGAGGACGGCTTGGGCAGTGTTCCCCGCCCCCACCCCCACCCCGGGCCGGCCCAACCACCAGGGGTCAGCAGAGCCCAGAACGAGGGGGGCCGGCCCTCGCCCGAGCGCGACCGTGTTGTTTGAATAAATGTGTACGTGAAACCAGGCGCGGGGGACCTGCGAACTTCGGGTCCGACCTGTTTGCGGGGGTGGCTAGGGGCGGGGGCCGGGGCGCAGAGTCCGCTGGTGCTTTGGGGAGGCCCTGGGCAGCCGGCAGAGGCCGGACCCGGCGCGCACCCGAGCGACCCCGCGTCGCCTTAGTGTCACGCACGCTCCGCTTCCCTAACGACGTCTCCCTGCCGACCGCCCCGCCCTCTGCGCGCGGGGAGGGGGCCGTACCGGGCGGTGGGGGTGCGCGCGGGGGACGGTACCCGGGAGAAGCCGCGCTCGCGCTCAGGCCCCGCGCGCACTCGGACGCAGGGGCCGCACGGGCGGCGCTCGGTTCGCGGCCGGGGCGGGGCTCCGGGCTCGCCCCGCCCGCGCAGCCTGCGCAGCTCTCCCGGCAGCAGCCGTCCGGCCGCACTGGCCGAGCCCAGCGGAGCTGAGCCACCGGGCACGTAAGACCGGGGCCGGGACAGAGAGGCGCGCGGCGGGCGGGAGCCGCGGGGTGGGGTAGGGGCTCTCCCTCCGCAGGCATCGCGGAACCAGAGGCTGCGTCGCTGCCCATCCTCCCTCGGGAGGACGCCACCTCCGCGCGCGGAGACTGCGGAACTGGACGGGCGGTGCCCGGGGTGTGGGCAGGAAGGGCGGCTGGGGTGGTGCGGCTGGCGGTGGGGCGCCGGGCGGGGGGCTGGAGCGGAGGCGCCTTGCGGACGGGCTGTAGGGGGCGGGGCAGGGTGGCCCCCAGCTCGGTGCCCGCCGTCTCCTCCCCAGCCCTTAGCCTAGGGGCGGAGGCACAGAGCCCACATTGTGCCCCCGCGCCAGCCCGGCCCCGCCGGGACAGAGCCGCATTCACCTCCTGCGCGGCAGCGCTTGTGGGGCCCGGGAGCTGAGGGGCGTGCATGCGCGGGTGTGGGTGCCCCGCGGCAGCTCCGCGCAGGGCGGGCTGCTGGAGGGGCAGCCCGGGCTCCCACCCAGCCTTGCGGCAGCACAGCTCCCGCGGCCCACGCTGATGCGGCTCTGGCTATTTATAGGCGTTCACTGCGGAGACCGAGGTGGGACTGCGCGGGGGCTGGGCTGGGGTAAGGCGACGGGGAGCGCTATTGGCTCAGACAGCTTGGAGGTAGAGCCAGTGTGCGAGGTGCGGGGTCTGGGAGGGGAGGGGCAGCAGCCAGTGCTTCCTCATGGCCTGGCTTGCTTGCTGAGTCGAGGAGTAGAGGAGATGGGGTCCAGGTTTGGGATGGAGGGATCAGAGGCCAGTGTCCGAGTGACGGGGTGGAGGGGGGATCTGTCCTCTGATTGGGTGAACCCCTGGGTGACAGCGTGGAGGGGTCAGTGTTTGGGTGACTAAGAGAAGAGAGTGGCAGTGAATGTTGGGGGGGGGGGGGGATCAGTGTCCCCGGGGGGGGGGGGGGGGGGGGGGGGGGGAGGGGGGGGGGGGGGGGTCTCCGTGTGGGTATCGGAGGAATGAGCTGGAGCAGGTGAGGCCAGCTGTGGATGGCTGCAAAGAGTTGTCCGTGTCTGGGTTGAGAGGGTCGGGGTTCAGTATGTAGATGAAGCGGGACATAGGAGCGGTGTGGGTGTCAGTGTCCAGATGACAGGGTGGATGGGGTGGGGTCCATGTTTAGGTTAAGAATGTGGTGGTCGGTATGCAGTATCCCCCCCATACACGGTGGTGTGACACCCCCTCCCCCCCGCTCCCTCTCCAGGAGGCCATGTCGGGCGAGGACCACGAGGTTCGGGCAGTGGTTGAGGATGGCTCCAACGGAGGCAGTGGCTCGCCCAGCCCTGGGGACACACTGCCCTGGAACCTGGAGAAAACACAGCGGAGCCGGCTAAGCGGAGGTGGCCCTGGGGGGAATGGGAGTGTCTTGGACCCTGCCGAGCGGGCAGTCATCCGCATTGCAGGTAACGACGCTGAAGAGCTTCGTCTGTCCAGTTCATAAACATTTGCTTGTTGACTGAGCACGTGCTGTGTGCTCTGTGCAGGTATAGGACTGGGATGAGAGACGTGAGGGTGATCTGCGGGTCAGAGAGGGGCCCCTCCTGTCCCAGGTGGTTGCAGACAGCACAGCGCCACCTGCTGGCTCCACCCGGTCAGCTGCATGAGGCCTGAGGTTGAGCTTGCTGAGCTGGCACCATCATTGGTCTCAGGACAAGGGTCCAGTGCCCAGATGTGATGATGACACTTTCTTGAGATCCTGCGGCAAAGCCGCCTTCGAGGCCCCTGGTCTTGGCTGCCACCATGGGGGTGGGGTGGGTAGAAGCATATAGGAGCAGGACAGGAGGGGCCACCTGGTTGGCGAGAGCCCCAGCCCCTCCCTGAGCCAGGGTCCGGCCTTGCCCTCTAGTAGCTGCCATTCTTGCGGGGAGGATGGGGAAGGCCCAGTGCAAGGCCCCTGACAGTGTCGGGCTGGCAGCTGGACAGTGGCTCCTCCCTTTGGGAAGTAGGTGACCTAGGGCTTGAGGCTATTGGGCAGGGCGTGCTGGGAAGGGAGGAGCCAGCTGAGGGTCTCTGGATCAGTCTGTGGACTACTGACCCTGTCCCGTTGGCTAGGACAGAATGATGATGAGGGTCTGGGGGATGGGCTGACCCTGCAGGAGACTGGGAGGGTGGGCCGAGGTGCGTGGGAAGAGGCCTGGAAGCCCAGTGCTGGGCGAGGATGGTGGCGGGGACAGCAAGGAACTCTGTGGGTGGAAGCACAAGCTAGAGCTCGTGGGGACGCAGGGGAGCGGGACAGCGTGAAGGGAAACCTCGCCGTCTGCCCCACCCCCGGGAGCCGGTGTGGACGTGGCATGGGACCGCCAGTCCTTTTCACATGTCACATCCAGATGTTAAAGGACGAGGTTCTTTTTCACTCACGTGAAAGTGAACCCTGAATGTCCTCTCGCAGCCCTGGACCCTCTTCACTAGCAGGCCCTGCGGGCGCTCTTTGTGTACGCCTGGCGACCCTCTTAGCCCTGAGCCCTGGAAGTGGGGCTTCTGGCCACAGTGTTTGTGGCATTTCCAGTTAGAGGAACACTGCCGGGGGCATTCTGGAGAGGGCATTTCTCAACACTGGGAGATGGGGGATTGCCAATCTGATGAGTGACAAAGAATTTGTCTTTTTTTTTTAACCAATCATTTTTTCTTCTGTAAATTCCCTATTTCAGTCCTTTTATTCGTAGTTAAGTTTTTGTGTGTAAGGGTTTCATGTTGAAGATACCCACTCCACCTCCCAGGTTGCAATAGAAGGATCCTAGGTAGCGGCGGTTGGAGCAGAAGGTGGGGGGGGGGCGGCCAGGTGAGGTCGCTGGGTCTGGCAGGGTGGTGGAGAGCTCGCGGCTGGGGACGGAGGGTGCCCCTGCAGCGCCGGGTGCGGAGAACTCGGGCTGTCGGCAGGCCGGCGACTGGGGGGGGGGCGGGGGCGGGGAGGGGGTGTGCGCCCGCCGGGACGGGCGCGGGACGCAGACTCGTAGCCTCCCAGCCCGCTCCGCTGCGGCAGCCGAGCCGACGCCGGGAGGCGCCCGGGCGCGCTGCCGCCTCTCCCCCGGGCCCCGCCCGCCCGTGGGGCATCCTGGGTGCGGGGCGGGGCGGGGGCGGCCCCTTTAAGCGGCGCGCGCGGCCGCAGGGACCGAGTGGCCGCCGGGGGCAGGAGGCTCGCTCTGCGCCGCAGCGCTCCGCTGTGTCCCGCGCCTGCCGCCGGCATGGCTGCCCTGCTGCCGCCTCGTCCGCCGCCCGACGAGCAGGACTTCATCCAGGCCTACGAGGAGGTGCGGGAGAAGTACAAAGGTACGGCGCCCCCGCCCCCTCTGCGGGCTGCCTGCCGTCTGGCCGGCCCTGACAGGTCCTCCGGCCGGACAGTCCGGCCTCTGACACCTCGTCCGCGGTAGTCGTCCCGATCGGAGCCCAGCCCCGCCCCCCGCCGCCAGCCTCGCTCGACCCGCGCGGCCGCCGGCGCCCGAGGAAGAGGCAGCGCGCTCGGCGGAGCCCCATAGTCATGTCCTTAATAGGCATCGTGCAGCGTGGGTGGGGTGGGTGGGGTGGGCCGCCCCGCGCCGCCCCAGCCAATGTCCTGTGTCCGGAATCTGTGCACAGCAGACACGTGGTTCAAGGCAGAGCTGTCCTCTGCCTCTCAGCTAGGTGCTTCCCCCAGGGGTGCGGGTGGCTGCCACTGCCTGGCAGTGTGGGTCGCATAGTTGCTGCCTTTCCTCACCTTCCCTAGTTGGTGAGCACCTAGGCCACCACCCGCCTCGGCAGGGACTCCTGTTACGCCCTTCTACTGTTCCCTGGGGAGCAGCTGTGGGCTGGGGAAGTTAGGGCGGCCCCCTCCTCCTCTTCAGAGGAGCTACTCTGTGCCTTTGGCAGACCCCCCTGGCCCTGCTGCACACCCCCTCAGACCTCTGGACCTGCCCAGGCCTTACTGCTGTCAGCTGCCCACAGCCCAGCTGCCTGGGGCGCTGGGCTCTGAGCAGGCATGGACACAGCCCTGGCTCCTGGCCCGCAGAGGCTTAGAGAGGGTCGAGGTGGGGCCCTGGACAGAGCTGACCCAGAGCAGGTCCCAGCTCCACATGGCTGGTTATGCTGGCTCTGCCCCCAAGGGCAGTTCAGGGAGAGAGGTCCTGCTGGGACCTTGCCTGGAGCCTGGGCAGCCGCTGTCCATCCACTGACCTCACCCAGGCAAGCAGGGGAGGTTTCACGGGGCCCAGGGTTCGCCTCCGCCAGGCAGTCCTCCACTCACAGCTTTCCTGGGTCCAGGGCGGTGGATGTGCTGTGTGCTTCTCCTTGTCAGCTTCTTGTCAGCACTGTGGTCGCCGATCCGTTGCCTCTGTGACCAGTTCGCTGGGGCCCGGTAGAGACACTCGTGACAGTGGGCTCCTGAGCCTGACTGCCGCACCTGCAGGGAAGGAGGGTATGCCTCTGGAGGGCTGGCCTGGCCTGGGAGGGTCCATCTGGACAGGTCCAGGGCAAGGAAGCAGCTGCCCACTGGGCCACAGCTCTCCTGGCAAACCCCAGGACGAAACTGT